ATATATATATACATATATGTATATATTTTCTACTTTTTTCATAATCTTATTTAACGTAGACACTGATATACATGTATCTAACCTGTCTTTCTTTATCCTCTTTTAATTGTCTTTCCAACATTTCATATTCAATTTTTTCTTGACGTCGTGAAACCATCTCTTCGTAAAAGCTACTATACCTTGGTTTATTGTTCTCGTGCAAATATTTTTGAACATGTTGCGCTAATTCAAAGATCATTACTTCTCCCTGTAATCGTTTTGTTAATTCCACTAATTCAGTATATAATACTGCAACTTGTTGATGAGATAAACCTCTGCTATTTTTTAACTCTATATTTGGCGTTCTGCAAATCATTTAATAAAAATGTTTTTATAAAGATTATATACGTATAACTTTTAAAAACTTTTTTATTAAACTGTATAGATTATTACATCTAAACTGTATAGATAATACATCTATATTTATGATTAAATTGTATTAAAATCTGAATTATTTATGTTCATATTATCATTTTTTATGCGATCGTACTTTCTAGATTTTCGTATCATATAATTATCAAATATATATTGAATTTTAATTAGTCTTCGATTATTTAAATATTCGAAATAATTGTTTGGAATAAGAGATTTCTTATCGGTTTCGATGATTTTTGAATATATAAAATCAACGTTCTAACAATCAACATTCTGAACTTTTTTCTTTTGCGGATCCGAAATAATCTATAGAATACATAAGAATTCGGCACTGAATTTTAAACTATCATAAATTAAACTATCATAATCCATGAGAAAATAAATTTTTGATTAGTTTATTCGTTATATATTTAATAGTCTATTCTCGCCATATATTAAACAGAGGATGATAAATGATCATATGCTTATGCACACGTAGCTACGAACGTATAAAAGAAGTTCTATTTAAATAATAACGATCTTTTTTTTCAAATATCGATATTTGCAATTGGTAATGAATCAATCTGTTGATCGATCGATTGAATCTTTTCTTCCGATAATGTTCTCTTCTTGTCTTTTACAAATCGATCCACGATTGTCGATCATCTTTTTCATAGCTTTTCGATATCATCTTTCATTCTTCATATGTAAATATCATGCGATTCGTCTTCGTATCATCAAATTTTTTTCATACACGCATAAAAAGTTGTTCAAAATATTGATCTACATCAATCTTCCAAAAATCATCGAAATCGACAAGGAATTCCTTATTCCTTGTTAATATCTTAAAATATTATTAATATTATATCTTAAAATAAAATACCAAAGAAATCGATTCTTTATATATAAATATTAATTATTGATTATTATCGATCAACTATGCGTAATATTTAAGAAAATTCGATAAATAATTATGTATGAATATCGGTAAATGAAACGATTGATCGCAATCTGATTGTCAATCTGATAATTAGGAAATATTCAATAATTACAAACAATCGAGATAATTTTTATTCGCTGTTGTACAAACAATTAGAAAAACAAATCATGCAACTATAACACGATTCGTTGATACATCTATTTACGAATTTTGGTCAGAAAGAATGATGGAGAAAGAATATTGTTATTACGGTAAATACTCAATTATAGCAATAGTAGCTATAAATACGTTGAAAACAGCCAAACATTCGATAATATTATCCTAATATGACATATTTGACTTACTCAGTCCAATCTGAGGTATCAATTTTAAGTAGATATTTAAAAGTATATCATTTTCGATATAAAACTTTGCTTTTTTTCATTAAATTTCAAATCATAAAGTAAACATAATTACAAATTATAAAGATGAGATCAAGTCCGTAGAAAAATAAAATTGGAAAATGACCGTTTAATTTACACGTTAATAAGGACTCATATTGTATTTACATAACTTACATTACATAAATTTTATATATATTATACAGTATAATAAAACGACATATATAATTGATAATTTGTACAATACGCGTATAAATATATCGATTAAACAAAATTATATAAATATTTTAATTTTTATAGAAATACTATGTTTATTCTACGTGTAATTTACATTTTCATAATTTATTTACTAAATTTAAAAAATATTATTTATTATTTTAAAAATAAATTTACTATTATAAAAAAAAAATGATTATTTGTCTACATATATATAAGTTCATCCGCAAAAAAATTAATAATGTCAAGTTATATTCATATCTATATCATACAACTTTTATATGAAATCTACATATATATATACATATATATTATTTTCATGAAAATTTAAAATAAGGATAAACAAAAGTAGATATCTATTTGAAAATTGTTACATTGTCATCAGTCACGGTCTCGAGAGTCTTGTGTAAGTAGATATGTTGCGTTTGAGAGTCACTGTCCGAGAGTCACTGTCCGAGAGCCTGTCGATCAATTCTCTGAGAGCTGTTTTATACGAACCAGTTGCGCACTATTCTGAAAGTAGCTATCGCGAGAGAAAGAGAAAAATGTTGTCACCGCGGAAAGAATGGAATAAAAATGATACATTTAAATTAATTGCATTATATGAACATCAGCCAATATTATGGGATAAAAAACATATGGATTATAGAAATCGTGAAAAAAAAAATAAAATATTAAGTGAAATTGGATTACATTTTGAATGTTCAATAGAAGAAATTCAGAGGAAGATACATAATTTGAGAAATCAAGTAAGACATAATATAAAGTAAACGAACTCGAAGAAAATTTGAATATTATTTAATTACTCAAATTACAGATGTCACAAGAATTAAAAAAAAAGAAAAAAAGGAAAAAAGGAACCGATGAAATAGAGGACTCAAATTGGATTTATTTTAATGCCCTGAAATTTTTAATTCCACCACTTACGATAAATGTGACACAATCATTACATACGCAGACATCGATGTCTATTGTAAGTAAAAATAGTTTCTTATAATTATGTTTCGTTTATTATGAAAGAGTTTGTATTTTTATTTATTTAAAAATATTAATAAAATCTAAAACAAGATTTCAAATGTTCACATTTCTATAATTTTAAATACATTTATATAATTATAAATAATTTTTTGAGAATTAATAATTATATTTGGTTTTGTCTATAAATAAATAAATTATAAAAAACAAAATTTATTATTAAATATATTATTTACCATATATATTCAATAACGATATTTATCTATTATTTATCTATTATCGATACTTTATTATATTTTTCTAAAAGAACAAACTAACCTATTAGATTTTGTTCATAAATTATATAAATTAAATTATATATATTTATTGCATATATTATTATTAATATTTAATATTAATCATATTTATTTTTGTTATATGTATTATAATTCATATATACATTAATTAAATTTTAAATTATCCAAACTATTCGATTAGATTATACGAAAATTTCAAAACATTTGCCAACGAATTTTCACTTATTTTCAATATTCAAAATTTCAAAACATAAAAAGATTACGTTAAATTATATCCAAATTTTTTTTCAAAAATGAATTTGCCTCAATTTCGATTATTAGGCAATTTCATATAATTCATTTCATTCGTTTCATTATTAAATATATTAATAATAAAAATATTCGTTCCAATCATTATAAATCTATATAATTTCGATAATTATATAGATTCATAATTATTTTTATTTATATATTATTTCTATTCGACGAGTTTTCTAATTATTTGTCTATATTACAAGTTGAAAAAATTCAAAAATTTATCGAAATTAAGATTATTATTATTTCTTAAATTTAAAAATGATATTATATCATAGTATTATAAAATATAACATTATTATAAAATATAAATTACTGTGATAAAATAATAAAATAAAATATGAATTATTATGATAAATAATTATTTTTTATCTATATAATTTATATATATAAAAGAAGAAAGAAAATGTATTTTACGAAGAAAATGTGGAGATGGAAGAAACGACCAGCCCAAGTACAACATCATCGAAAAAAATAAAGCGAGAAATTGATGATAACCAACTCTTTAAAACGACATTAAGTAGCTCGTATCAAGAAGTGGATGAATATGATAAATTTGGTCAATATGTAGCCTTAGAATTAAAAACCTTAAAATCTGATTTTAATAAAGCAAGATTAAAAAGTGAAATAAGAAAAATAATAGTTCAGATCGCGGATGAAGATTTGTACGATAGTATAAATCCATTGTCATCTTCTATGTCAATGCCGTCTCCTTAATTAGCACGCAATTTTATAAAGAAATTTATATATACATCAATATATAATTTAATAATGAAAAGTATATTTTTTCTTAGACAATAATACAATTTAGATTAACTATTTTATTTTCTTTTGTTTTTCTTTTTCAAATATATCGTTATTATCTCAGATCTTGTATTCGTAATAAATACGTTATTATTTTTGTATAAAATTGTATAAAATATAATATATAATGAAACTTACAATGTTTAATAATCTAATTAATAATTATTTGCACGTCCATCGCACAAAATAATGGAAACAATTGATCGTTTTTCAGTATTTAATCGATATCCTATATATCCGTATACGACGTATCAGTAATAACAGAACGTTTTTTTTGTTTTGCTCACGAGACTCGTTGACCTTGAATTCTCTTAATTAATTAATGTCCGTAATAATTTTATAACTAATAAGAATTATAAAAATAAGAATTAAGTTTTTATATATACACAATCAATATTTCATTTTTTTTTACTTTTCTCTTTTTTCAAAAGAAAAATCATGTACTACATCAAAAATTGAACACAGATGATTTACAGTTTTGAAAAATTCTGTTTGATAATAAATTTTTGACAAGTTTTTTTAATACGTGTATCCGAGAATAAAAATTCTTGCAATTGTTCTTAATTAGATATACACACTTATATATCGAATATATCAAACGAAGATATAGACCTTAAGATTTAAGGTCCTTTTGATGTTAACATCAAACGTTCATGCAATGTAATGCAATAAATATTATGGAAAAAACGGTAAGTATTTATTTAACAATTACATTTTTTAAAAATATATAAACGAAATTATATATTTTATAGATTTATGTATTACAAATGTTAAAGAGTATTAAAAAGGAAAAATTTAATATCATTTATTTAAAAAAAAATATATATATTTTTACTTAATATATAATATAATAATAGTCAATGCCAAATCTAATATGTATCTATTCATCATTAGATTTAATTATTATTAGATAATTTCTTTACGTCTTATACTTAACTCAATATTTTTCTTTCTTAATTCAAGATATAAAAATTATATTAATCTTTGAATAAATTTTTGTTCAATAAAAATTATAATAAAATTTAATTTTTAATTTTTTTTTCAAAATTGAAAAAAATATATTGTAATTATATTATTTATTTATAAGGAATATATTATTATTTATAAAGAATTTTTTGGATTTTGGATTTTTATAATAAACAAAATTTAAAATATTTGCATTCAATTTTAAATTATTTACAATTTCACAATGCTAATTATGTATAGAAAAATATTATTCTCAGAATATAATAGAATAAAGATAAAATTCATAAGAATCGAAAGGCAAAAATAGATTTGATTCTTATAAGTAATCTTATACTTGCATATTAAAAAATACTTACCATTTATTCAAATTCTTATTCAATAATACTTTAAACATATTATAATAAAAAATATTATTTAAAAAATTTTTATAACTAAAAATATACTTACTCATCAGGATACTTATTGCTGCACACTACATGTAAATCAATCTGTGCGTATACTTTAGCCGGGCCTGACATGCCTTTCTGAGGCATCAAACTAATCAGTATGTCTAACGGTTGCCATTTTCTTCTATTCTTTTCACGGCGTAAATCACACAATTCATCTCCAAAGATGCTCTGTAAATAAAAAAAAAAATATATATTAATTTATCAAATAATTAGAAATATGTCTACATTATTAAAAAGATTATTATGATTTCATAAAAATATATAAATTATTAAAAATTATATAAATTTATTAAAAATTATTTAAAAAATATAAAAATTATTAAAATTCATATATAATAAATATTTTTACATTTTATTATAGAGTTTTATTCGAATTTATAATACGAATAATTTTAAATAATATACAAGCATATACATATACAAAAACTAAAATAAGATAGAATAAATATTTACATTAATGTATTTATATTAATATTAAAGTTCAAACTCTTGTTAGAAAATTACAAAAATTATTATATTTAAATTTAAAATCTGATGATCTATTTTTAATTCTATTTTTAAATCTGATTTTTAATTCATAATTAAATTTTTTCACATAAATTCTGTTTTTTATAACATTTTATATTTTAATTATACAAACGAATAATATTAAGATCTTATTTTCATTATATTAAGTATACTTATACGCATTACACATAAACATATTTAATGTTTATCATATATTTTTCATTTTTTTCAAGGAAACGAGTTATGAATAAATATATAAAATAAAATGAAAATCATAAGAAATTTAACTTATTAGAAATAAATAATATTTATCTCATCATGATATTAAAAACATGCAATATTAATGTATATAATATTAATGTAAATAGTAAAAAAAAAAGAAAAAAAAAATTAAATGAAAATGAACAATAAAAAAATAATATTATCAATAATAATATAATTTCATTACCTGTAAAGCCTCAATTTCGTTCTCTTGTCGATCTTTAGAAGACTCACAGGACATATTTCTTTTAATACATTATATTTTCATTATTTAATTTTAAATATCGTTTTTCAACAGTCACGAATAATTAAATTTAACTCATTGTTTAGGCCTCTAACCTTTATTATAATACTAACTACTCGTTCTTCGCGTAAAATGTTTCTTTCTATTATTCATTTATTGAAAATTCTTCTGGAAAAAATTGATAAATTTATATATTATTTCGTAACTTATAAAAGTAATATAAATTCTACAATTAATATAAATTCAATAGTTTTGTTTTTCAATTGTATCAATGTTAAGCAAGTACAATAGATAGTTTACACGACAAGGTGGATCTACATATCGAAC